CAGAGACATAGGTAATAAAGGGAGAATAAATAATTGCACTCGTGGGATTCTTGAGAAGATTCAATGAGATAACGAATTGTAAAGTGCTTAGAATAGTGCTAGGCAAGTGGTAAATGAGAATTATTACCACCTCATGTCACTTTTCAGAGTTTGTTTTCTCTTCATTTGTAAAACTCAAGAGATGATAGTCTCTCGCAACATTGTTTAAGGACCAAAGGATTCAGCTACCTTAGGACTTCTCTCTGCCTGCCAGCAAAGCTGGATCTTCCCATATCTGCAACTTGCACATTTGGTCACTAGATGGCACCTTAGGCCAGTCTATCGGGAGCCTTGCAGCCAGGAGGAGCTGGTACTGTTTCTGGTAGAAGAAGCTGTGTCCAGCCTCCCCACCCATCAGCCCACATTTCTCTTCTCTTCCTAGGAAGGAGGCATAAAGATGAAGGAAGAGTATTGGCAGAGCTTTTCATATACAATAAAGGTTAACATTTTGCTGAGAGTTCATCATCTGCAAGGTAGATAAGTAGTCCTCAGACCCACTTAGACCAGGCCCTGATACTCCTGGCTGACTGTGCCTAGATCTGCTTCTTTCCTCCCAGAGGCCCAGTGCCTCCTGCCCCATCCTGAATCACCTGTGCATAGGTTAAACCTGGTTCTTCTCTTCCTCGCCAGACTGGGGACAATTTACACCCATGCAACCACCTACATGTGGCAAAAGATGTCCTTCAGGGAAAGTTTGCCAAATGAGTAAATATGTAGGTGCACTATGGATATCCAGTTACATGGCCTTCTCTTCCAGCAGATTCCAGATCAGAGTTTACACATTTTCTTTTTGTCTCTGAGCTCAGGAGGTAGCCTGGGTAATTGTCAATAGCACATTGTTCCTGAACCTGGATTTCTTAGGCTCAAATCTCACTTCTTCCATCTACTGACGACACGTCCTTGCACATGTACCTCAGTTTCTCTATCTGAAGAATTGAAATACTAATAGTCCCTCTCCTTTTGTAATTTGGTGAGGACTAAATGAGCAAATGCATTTAGAGTGCTTAGAAAAGTGCTTGGCACATAATTGGCATCTAGTACATGTTAACCACCATCTGAAATTTGCCTACTCTGAGAAAAAGGTCATACACTTGCAAAAACATATCCAAGGATATGCAAAGGTCCCAGTGTGGTTGCCTGGTACAGGGGACAGCTCTTAAGAAAGAAAGATTAGTTTCTCCTCCACCTCCTCCTCCTCCTCCTCCTCCTCCTCCACTACCACCACCATCACCACTTCACTGTTACTGCTGTTACCAGTTGTTTGAAGATGCTTGAGATAAGTCTTCAAGCTGCATGAGTCATGAGTGTTGGGCTGTCTACCTTCTTCCAACCCTGAACTAAGAAGTGATTTCTGTAGTTGTCTGCATGGGGCTGGGGGCTCCAGCACATTCAGAACAGAAGTGGCCCAAGGATCAGAAGGCACTGAGGCAGAGGACCTCCTAAGACCATTTTTCTCCTTTTCCTTTCTGAGGTGTGTGTGTGTGTCTGTGTGTGTTCAGTACTTTTGGAGCATCTTCTGAGTCATTGCTCACCCTTGGGACTGTTATACAGGTTAGAAGAACCTATTCTAGAATGAAGGTTGTCTGAACCCTACGAAGTACAAGAGCAGGACAAATTATGGTTTTCTGTGATCTCACCCAGTTTATCCGCTGTCAGTCTGGAGAGATGGGAAAGTGTGACAGGTGACCACTAGGTGGTGTTATCAACATGAAGAAATCGTTAGTTACATTAGTGTGTGATTGTGTTGGTGGGTAAGCTGGAGTGCAGGTCAACTCCATCTGGAGAGAATCAGAATCCTTGCTTACATACATTCCAGTCATCTGGTATGATTTTGGGTGGAAGAGGAAACTGACCTAGAAGAATGTGCAAGAAAACTAGGAGAGCAAGAGTAGAAGTCAAGCCTACATAGCTGTCTGTCTGGCCTCTGTCCATCTGAGCAGTCCTGACTCTTGGGCCCCTCATCTGTCTCACCCGTGAGATGTACCAAGCTCCCCACAAATGCCGTGGTGCCTTCACCCCACCATGCCCTCCACTTGAAATGCCCTCTTTCATTTATTTCTCTTACAACTTCGTCAAAGTGTCACTTTCTCTGGTCAGGATTTAGCTCAGTGGTTCCACTGCCTGCCTCCCAAGTGCAAGGTCCCAAGTTCAATCCCCGGTAGCAAAAAAAAAAAAGTGTCACTTTCTCCAGGAAGCCTTCCTGATCCTTCTTCCCCGGAAGAACTGGCCAGGAGCTTCTTTTTGCTCCACTGTTCCTATGTCTCCTCCTTCCACATATCTTTGCTACTTTTGTGGACTTAGATGTCTACCATAGAGTGGAAATTTTCTGGTTGGCTTGGTGGGAGAATCTCAGCTGATTCTATTCAGTCCCAGGCCCGGTTGTGTAAAGGTTTTCTCACAGCTCACCAATTTGGAGAGGCTCCCCCAGTGCCTCAGGGCCTCAAGAATATTCTAGGATGTGAGAGTTTGTGTACACTGGGTAAGCACTGCAGACAGGATTGGCTACATAATCTGCACAACCCAATGTAAAATGAAAATAGAGGATTCCCTATTCAAAAATTAAGAATTTCAAGATGATGAAAGCAGAGCATTAAACCAAGGGCTGGGCCCTTCCAAGCACAGGGTCCTGTGGGAATAGGTCACCTCCCCTCCCCAACCATGTTGTCGGCCCTGAGTTAGAAGTTGAGGCAAATTCTACAGATACTGTCAGCTGCTAACTTCCCAACGACCAGATTACAGGGCAGATAGGAAAATATTTCAGCTCTTCCTCATGGGTGTGAAGACTGCATCTTCCCCTGAGAATGGATCTTTGTCCTTGTGAGATATGTGGCTCCACAAATATGTTTTGGATTCTTCAAAGGCTAAAGAATATATTCACAACTCCTACTGCCCATGAGGCCTTGGAGGGGCACTCATCTGTGCGTGGGAGCCAGAGCAGAGCAGTGCATCCTGGCAGTTATTCCAGGATGATTAATTCAGGCTTCAGAAGTATATGGGGAACACAGGATGGGGACATAGGAGGGCCCTTGGGTAGGGATGGAGTTTTCTCTATGGCTTCCAGGGGATCAGGAAAGCTTGAATGCCAGACAACTTTGATGTCAGAGGTGTGGAGAGTCACGTCAGTCAGGGCTAAGCTGGGAACGAGAAGCCCTCTTTCTCTGGCCCTTCTTGCTTCTCGCAGGGCTTGCTTCAGCTGCAGCAGCTTTGCCCTGAGTGGCGTGGGGCAGCCAGTGCAGGGACAGGCAAGACAGTGAGATCTCCACCTAGCAGAAAAACCCCTCTTTCTCAAATACAGTACATCAGAGGGGCTGGCTGACTAAAGGGAAGGCTGACCTTAGGCAATGTGCACCTGTTTTGGGCTCCAGAGATCTGTACAAGATTTGCATACCTTCTGTGGGCCTCAGGAACTCACATCCCAGGGTAATCCAGTCTTGAAAAGCACAGGCAGGTGCCTAGTGAGTGCCTTTGGAGGTGTAGGAGCCAGGAGGGCTTTAGAAGTTTATTTCATCTGGGCTTGAAGAAGAGATTGTGTAAAGGCCTGCCTGCAGGTGTGAAAGTCTGGGATCCACCTGGGCTGGGGTGTGCTCCCATGTAGCTGACTGGACTATAGTGTATGTGGGAAAGAGAAAGAGGGGCAGAGTGTGCCTCTTGCAGCTGGTTTATTAGTGGAAATGCAGATTTTCTTGGCTAAGGGCCTCCAAAGCTTAAGTCTAAACTGCTTGTTCTGTAAACAGCACAAAGGATAATGTAGTTAGTGATTCTCAAAGTAGTATCACCTGGGAATCTGTTGGAAATGCAAATTCTGGGGCATGCCACAGGCCTACTGACTCAAATCCTGCAGGTGGGGCCCACAGGTTGTGCTTTAATAAGCCCTCAAGGTGGTTCTGACGCAGGCCAAAGTTTGAGAACCACTGGTGTAGTGGACGAATATTAGAATTTGGAGGGCAGGAAAGGTGAGGGAGGCAAGGCAGAAAACTTATCCTGCATGACAGTCTGCAGAATCGGAGCACGAGGTCTTTCCTTGCCCTTTCCTTTACAGGACTCAAGCAGTAAACAGGAGGGGTCTGCATCATTGCATCCTCCTGTGGGTAGATGACTCAGGCTTAGAAGGGTGAAGATCATAGAGTAAGCGCTGGAGCCAAGTCTGCACCCAATTTGCCTAACTCCAAAAGCAGGGTTTTCCTGTCATTGGCAGCACCTCATGGCCCCACTGTAGTGCTGTGGTCTGTGCTGTGGGCTGGAGTCTTCACCAATTCAGGTGCAGAAAAAGGCCTGCAGCTGGAGCCTCCTTCCCTGAGGCCCAGTGCTGAGATCAGTGGATGAGATGAGGCATTTGCTTAAGGGTTGCCATTCCCACCAGGGAGCTTGTCTTATACAGGTACTTTTCTAAATGACCTACCATTGCTCCTGACTATTAGGGCTGACAGGTTAAATGTGAGGTTAATTGAGAAAAGCAGGATGAAAAACTGCCTGTATGTTATGATTATAATGACCTTAGATTAAAAAAGAAAAAAAAATTAAAAACACAAAGGGAAAAACTCTCAATGCTAAAGGAGTTTTCTTCCTTTTCCCCAAGCTGTTGTGTGGTTATGATAAATACACATTCATCTGTTTTAAAGTGCAGCGCCCCCCTGTGGAAAGCAGTGGCACCGTGGACAGGGCAGTGCCTGTGGGTCCAGTGCAGGCTCTTCAGGACAAGTCTGGCTTTCTTACCCTTTGGACTCTGTCCCTGAGGGCAGCGGCCAGGGCAGGATGTGTAGCACCAGCTGATGTCAGATGCTTGCTGTTCACTTGGTCTGTTGGCAAGGAGAAACCTGCAGGTCTTTGTGACCTTCTAGAAGTCCGTCTTCATGACGGCTGTGACCTGGAGGGCTTCAAGGGGTTTTGAGGCCTAGGACTGGGTCTTCTCCCAGGTCCTCCTGATAACAACCACTCTCTCCCAACAAAGGCCACCAAACACCTTTAAACACAAAATATTCTTTTATTTGTCAACGAAGGCTACACGGGATCACTTCTGGTTTTGTTTTTATGCTTTTTTTTTTCTAGAAGGTATCTACATCTGCATTTATTTACAGCCTTGTTGGTATTTACACAGTCAAGAATACAGTGTTAGAAACACAAAAGTGTTGAGAAAAAAACTTCTCAAAATTAGTTCCAGACTTCAGGAAAACTATTTGCACACGGTAAGGCCAGAGTCTCCAGGGCTGGTCATCCAGAGGCAGCGCAGCACAGTCCTTTGCCAGAGCTGCAGGTTCAGAAGTCCTCAGCACAACAGGCAGACTTAGAAAAGGGAGATTCTGGTGGTGGGTGAATCCGGGGCTACTGGGGCACTGCCAGACACCTGCTGCTCAGCTTCTGCCAGGAGAGCTGAGCCTGCCCGAGGGTCCGTCCTCCCTTGGCAGTTTGCCCTCAGAATAAATCACATTTTCGTGGGGACCAGGATGTCACCCGGTTTCATGCCTTTGGCATTTCAGAGGGGAAAGGAAATGTGACAGAGGCCCCCACCCAGGGCTCCCCGACTCTGCTCTTTCACATCCGGAATGAAACCTCAGAGTGCGCCACTAACCGGGGCAGTCAAGGTCCCAAGCTGGTTTTTGAGAATGTAAAGGTTGGAGAGGATTAAGTTTTGGTCACCTGAGCAATGAGTCTTTAAAATGAGTTTGCTGTTTTGGAAGGTTAAATAAAAGGGCCTTGAACTACATACAGACAAGTGTATGACCCTAGCTGGGAACAATGTTCCTTAAACGGAAGGCTTTAGTCCTGATGAGGGAAAGGAGAAGCTGGGTTCTTTCTGGGACCCCTCAGGAGCAGAGTCCCCTGACCAGGACTAGGTGCCACCTCCTTGGCTTAGTGGCTGCTGTGAGGAATGCAGAACAGACTGGACTTTGTGTGTTGGGTGGTCAAACCCCCAAGCCTGGGACCCTGCTGAGGGCCAGCAAGCTCTTTCCTCCTGGGCACCAAGCTCAGCGTCCCTGCTGTGCGACAGGGCCACTGCAGACACAAAGCCGAAAATGGTCAAACTATGTTCTAAGATTTCACATTGAAAGCCTGTCTTTGCAGAATGGAGATCACTGCTGCCTATAAAGGTGAGACTTAAAAGTCACAGCTGAAAAGGTCCTTTCTTCTTCTTTTTTAAAATTTTGATTCCTTGTTCTCTGTCTACAAAGCACCGCCCAGTTTACTCACCTCCCTTGCCTCTTCATCATCATCTGCTGCTAGCCCTACCCTATCCTGATTATCTGGAAGTACATCTCCTGGCCATTCTTAGCCTCCAGTCAGTTTCTCAGGGAATGTTTCAAAACCTCCACCCCAAAGTAGAAGTCAACCACTGGTGTGGACCTCGGGTTACTTCTCAGCCAGCAATTGTGAAGCAAGTGTCAGAGGCTGTCAAAGGTTGGTATTCCATGGAGTCCCTCCTCTCCCTCCTGTTGTCACCATCCTGCCTTCCAACAATGTCTATCTGGAGGCTGGGTGAAAGGAAATCTTATTACATAAAAGACAAAGTTGGGTCCTAGCACTTGGCAATTTGAGGCCATAATGGGCTACAGAGCAAGATCCTGTCTCATAAAAAAGGACAAAGTTGGGGAATCAATAAGGTCTTATTAAACATAGTGACAGAGAGGCTGACTGGCAGTTGGGGGGGGTGGGGGAGAAGGCAGGAACTATTCTAAAATAAACCTCCTTCTAGGGTCAGAAGCCAACTTCCTACAGAATCATGAACCTTGGCAGTACAGGAGGTCTGATCACTTCATCAGTTGGAAAGATTTTGATTTATTAGTGCCAAAAGGGCAGGTGCCATCAAGGATGGGAGTTGATGCATGGAGCACACTAAGTAGGCACAGAGAACTCTGGTATGTGCCTTCAGACTCACCCTTGCCATGGGATTGGGACTGCTAGTCTCAGCAGGGGGACAGATTGAGAAGGGAAGTCCTGAGTCACCTGCCAGCCTGAATGGGAATCAGCTCCAAAGAGCCAAGGCCAGAGCTTCTGGTCCATATGATAGCACAGTGTAAAACGAAGGTACATGGTACTGCCTACCCCATGGTTCCTCTCTAAAGCTTGGGGTTGCAGAAGCTGGGAATGCAGCCCAGAAAAAAAAAAATAGGATTGCTCCTTTAAATAAAGGAACACCTAATTCTCTGTGCTTTTGATTCTTAAAATTAGTCCACTGTATTCTTTTGGGGAAGGGGGTAGTGACGGAGGGACAGAGGAGCTGGGGAGGTATAAGGAGATGGTTCTCTTGAACCATATGTTGTCTCTGACCTCTAAGTAGATGTCCCCAGCAGGTCTTGACTGATGTTAGGCAGCCAAGATGGGACTGATCAACTAGGCCAACAGGTAGGAAACTTTGGCCAAGGACCTTCATAGCAGGAGTGCATTTTGAGAGGCATAAATTTCTTTTGTACTAAAAAAAAACCTAACTTGTGTTCTTCAGGCCAAACTGTTTTCCAATCCATCCAAAAAAACAGCGTGTGACATATGTAGTGGGCCTGAGGAACATTGAATCTGACTCAGCAGAGCTCTGGATCCAGAGGCAATGGGCAACCAGTAGACAAACAGGTCACAGCACACTGTTGAGGCAGTGTGACTTTTTTTGGAAACAGGAAGAGCACTTAGCGAAACACATCCTCTAATCCCAGTGGGATGATGTAAGGCAAGATCTCCCCTCCCCGAGAAGCTCTGAATACCTCCTGCTGCCCGGCAGAAGCCGGACTACATGTTGCTCCAATTCTCATGCAGTAAGAGACCTTCTTGGTTTCATTAACTTGTGTCACATTCTGAAGACTCTGTGAGTAAGGCTATAAAGGTGCCATGAGCTTATCAGTCCAACAAGGTTTCCACGGGGAATAGCTCAGACTCAGAATTCATTTTCCACACTTAATGTAAATGTAACCCATAAAGTCCCATTTTCTAAGCCCAGCTCAAATGGAAGCATTTGGCTTCCCCTCCTATCTCCCAGAGCCTCCTGTGAGTGGTAATGACAATGGTAATTAAGCAGATGAACCAGGAATGAAATCCTTGAACAAGGAGTTCTCAGCTTGTACTGCTACCCTCCTCTGCCCTCCTTGCTTCCCTGGTCTCCTGGCTGCTGCCTCCTCCTGGGAAGTCTCCAGCCATGGGTTGTACCTGCTCTTGAGAGGCCTCCAGCCTCTTCCTGATGATGCAGACATGGATCTTCACAAGAACAATGGTAGCCTGGCCTTCCGGATCCATGGGCATTGGCTTCAGGACCAGTCCCTGATGGTAGTGGAGTTGTACACCACTGAAAGGCCACACCAAAGTAGCTCCTTTCTCTTTCTCTTTAAAAAAACCCCTGGTTGGGCTTCTCTAGAGGGAAAGCTGTTTTCTAGAGGAAGTTCACAGAAGGGATTTCCTGAAGGCCTAGGCTGCTGTAGCATAGCTCTGGGACAAGCCTGCACAGGGGAGGCAGAGGCAACTTCAGGAGCTGATTAGAAAGATGCTTGGCTCATGCTTTTGCTTACTCCTCTCTTTGGCTGACTTTTTAATTTTGTATCTTTCCAGGATCAAAGGCCACCAAGCACCTCTCGCCATACTTCTATTTCTCAGTGGCGGCAGCTGAGCAGTGGAGGGAAGGTACCCAAAGTCATGGGGAGAGGGCATCCTTCCCTTCCTTGGACTTGGTGCCACATGGAGGGCTCGCTGTGCAGTGCTGGTTCTCACATCTGGCTTTGGGAGAGAGGAAGAGATGAGTAAGGGACATCGTGGAGGATCAACCAATCACAGACATCCTGGGTGCTTTCACCTCTTGGAGAGGGTGGGGCTCGTAGCTCCAGGATGTTATGTCACCAGACTGGGGAAAGAATCTGGGGACAATTCCTCCAGCCCAGTATGGGGGTGGCACCAACAACTACATGAGATTTGCAAAAGGGAGAAGGGGTTTCATTTAGCATCAAAATATAAAGCTTGGACAGGAGTTTGGGGCAGTTTGGAAAGGCGCTGAGTGATAGCGTGAAATTCTCCAGAGCAAGATGAAGCCATCTGTGGTCCTCCAGAGGCACAAAGCACAGTGAGTAAGCACCCACCGCTTGGCTGTGGGAGCCTAGCCAAAGCTCCTGAGGTTCTACAGGCCCATCACTCTTGGCACCCCTCCCTCCTGCCTGACCCCGGTCAAAGAAGAAAGGGTTGCACATGAGACAAGCACAGACACTCATGTCTCACATCACACTGCGTACCCAGCGACAATGAGGACACACCCCAGGAGACGTGTATCCCAAAGAGAAGAGAAACGGACTCCAAACAACAGGGAAAATTCCTTAAGGAAAAAGGGAACAAGACAGTAAAGTTTTCATTGTGATCACACTACAGAAAAAAATACCTTCTCTTCTTTGCAAAAAATGTGTGAAGGCCAAATCCGTGTTTTTCTTTTCTTAAAAAAAAAGAATGTTGCATGATTAACAATGCAACCAGTATCTTTTTGTTTGTTTTCTGCACTTGTTAAAAAAGTTTTTTTTTGTTTTTTTGTTTTTGTTTTTGTTTTTTAAAGTACAACACAGTCAGGTATGCGGCCACAAAAGAGTAGCTGTCTTTGGCAAGAAGTCCAGGCCATAGCCCTCTCTGTCACCTTCGGCCCATCTCACTCTGTCTCATGAAGTGGATGTTGTTGGCACTGTCTGACAGTTCTGGGTACTGCTCAACGGAGATCACGAAGAAGCCATCATAGCCTTGCACCTGCCCTGTGTTCAGCACCTGCTGCTTCTCCCCCTCGGTCCAGGCCCGAAGGCCCTCCTCCCCTTCCTGCAGTCTCTGCTGCTCTTGGGCCCACGCCTGGCGCACGGCTCTCTGCCGGGCCAGCTCCAGCACCCTCGCCTTCTCCTCGTCCAGCGTCGTCCCATAGCGGGTGTTCAAGCACAGTGCCCTGTACTGGAGCTGGATGTCTGTATAGCGTCTAGTCCTGCCATTGAGCATGGTGTTGATCTGGGACACTGTCACATTGACTCCATTCTCTAGGGTTCGCTGCCCCCCACTGAGGCCCAAGATGGCCAGGTCACCCTCTGAAGGCCCTGGTTTTACAAAGTAGTGGGTATCAATCCCATTGATGGTGAAGTGCAGGTTCTCTAAGTAGTGAGCATTGTTCAGAATGGCAGCAACCCTTCGCCCATCCTCATTGGCCATGCTGATGATGTCTGTGGTCACGCGACCATCCTTCAAGGAAAATTTGACCCCTTTGCCAAAGACTGAGCCACTAGATGCAAACTTTCTCGTCTCTGGGGCCTGCTGGCAGCTGGTGACTGTGGAGCCATAGAGCTGGTCGAAGCGTTCTAAGGTGACGAAGGCCTTGAGCTGTTTCTGCACTTCACATTGTACTCCAAGGATAGACTGATGGAAGAGGACAGTGAGAGTGTGTAAGACAAAAGGAAAAAACAAGTCCTAAGAACATAGAGCACCAGTTTAAATAACTAAGTCAAATCTGTTCATATTTGTTAACCGGTAGCATTGATCTGTTTTGCTCACTACCAGCACATCCAGCCACCCCATCCACCCATTCACCTACCCTTCTCTTCAGACTGTTTAGGGAGCTTCTACTCTGAGCTAGGTCCTTTTCTGAACACTGGAGATGTAGAACTGAATCAGACATCATCTTTGCCCATCATTTATGGGGAAAGACAGATAGCACAGTGGTAACTGCAGTCAAAATGTGATAACTGGTTGTCTAAGACAGGTAAGAGTAGCAGCTATAGCTAACTAACATTCCTTGATCTTTAAGCTAAACACTTACCATTCATTGTCTCATTTGATCTTCACAATAATTTCATATGGTAAGTACTGTTATTCTGCTTTTATTCTAAGGCTCAAAGAAGTTATAACTGGCTCATTAGTAATATACTAATACCAAGTCAACCTTCAAAGCCAGATCTGTCTGATCCTAGAGGCTCAGTTTCAGGGGCTGCTGCAGTAGGGAGAAGAAAACAAGGCTCAGAAGCACCTCAGGCTGCAGATGGAGGAGAAAGATGGAGAGGGTGGGTTTGAGTTTGAGTTCAGGCTCATGTTTGAGTTGGGACTTGAAAGATGAGGGGGGTGATGTTAAAGGGAAGAATGGCTACAAATGCACAATAAGGGAAAAGTAGTGATTTATATCAGCCCTCTTACACTGTACCATGTTTACATGAGATTTTTCAAGGAAAGCCTCTGCCCCACAGTGCTTCTTTGGGGCTGCTCAGGTGACCCTACACTTGGCTGCTCTGGGGGACAGGGTAGGCCCTGCTAGCTTGGCGGGCCATCTCCCTGTCCCTCCCATAGCTTGGGGAGCTCAGGGAAGCCAGGATCAGAGAGGCTCCAGGGCTTTATCAGCAACTCAGGGAAATGGCTTTAGAGACAGGCCCAACACCTCCCACTGAAATTAAGTCCTCTTTATAATTAATAGAACCCTGTCTGTGAACAATTATTTCCTAGAGTTTCATGAAAGCTGGAGTGCTCAACAACAAAGATCTCCGATGCTTGCCAAGGGCAGAAATCAATAATTCATTGACAGGCGAAGTTGGCAAACAGAGAGTCAGAGACAGGGACTCTGAGGAGTGCAGAAGGGAACCTGGTTGGGGAGAAAAGGGCGGTAGTGCTGCAGTCAACCTGGGGACAGCAGATGCTGGGGCATCTGGGGGAGGGCCTTGGGTGGTGGGGACAGGAGAGGGCTAAGGCAGCAGAGGGTGGCAGAAAGAGGACAGGCTCAAGGCCAGGCAGGCCCAAGTTCTCACTGCCTTCTGCCATTTCCCAGCAAGTGTCCTGGGTTAAGTTTTTCTCTGAACCCTGGTCTCCTTATCTGTAAAGTGGACTGTTTACTTCTTTAGTGGACAAGAATTTTCTGTGCACCTATGAGGTGATAGCCAGTATCCTGGAAACTTAAGGATACTCAAGCTGTGGTGGCTCAGAGTCTGGTGGAGAGACAAGAAAGAAAACAGGAATCAAGATATAATGTGGGGGAGTGCTTCGTAAGAGGAAAATATAAAGTGCCAATTAAACATAAAGGTGGGGATCTACATTCTTGAGTCTGGGGGAAGGAGACAGCTAAGATGAGGCCTGAAGGAATAAGTCTAGAATAAGGGATATGGATGTGAAAATTTCCAAGCAGCTGCAGAATGCTATATGGCAACCATGGTTTCCCCTGTTGATCCCCTTGGAGGCTTGGTCTCTGCCTGATTCATTCCTGCATGAAGTGGGAAGAGTGCAAGGCTACGAAGAGAGTTAGCAAGCAGCAAAGAATATATGAATGGTGGGGCTGGGGGTTGAGCAAATGAATGCACGAAGTGAGGGGGCAGGATGGGACTGTTTTTCAGGATCTTTACAGATATACAATCTAAGCTTTTGAAATTGGATCATAAAAGGAAGACAGGAGAAAGCAATGTTTTTTGAACACGTATAGTATGCCAGGCCCTGTACTCGGTAAGATGACACAGAATTGACAAATCTGGGATTAGAGTCTGGAACTAGCTCTTCTTGCTGTGTGACACTGGGAAGCCTCAGGCATTAAATCTGCAAGATAAAGACAATAACATCATGGGATATTTATGAATTAACTTATGTAGAATACCTCAGCCAAGGCCAGGTGCATTAGGTGCTTAGAAATGTCACCTTTGCATTTAGAACATGCTTTCTCTCCCTGTACTTTTGCTCAGACTGTGACAAAGGCTTATAATTTCTGTGGAACTCCAAACTCAGTGTGGCACACAAAACTCTTTCATGCAGCTTGTGGCCATATGGTGCCTCAGCTGGGTCCCCAGTGGCCTGCCTGGTGGTACAGTTACTGTTTGGTGAATGCTCTAGGCAGGCACTGTGGTGGCACTGTCTTGGTTCCCACCACTGGCCAGAGCTTTTCTGGAAAGTTGGAGGGAAGCCCGTCTTGTAACATCAGCAGGGGTCAAGGTGTAGGGTGTAGGTGCCATGTGGGGGCGTTACCTTGCTGTTGTCCCACTCCTGAGTTTTCATCTGTGTGTGCAGGAGCTCATAGGATGGTTCCATGGCATCCATGTCTGGTTTGGGATAGCCAGGGATCACGTTGTGCAACTGGAATCCAAAGGTGAGCAGCCAGCTGTTGACATCTGGGTGGGAGCGAAGCAGAAACATCCCCATGGAGTAAGTGGACCTCCCTTTTTGCCTCATCTCAATCAAGCAGCCCCAGGAGGCTGCAGGTGTGGGTGTGGGTGTGGAGGACCTCTGGTGAGAGAGCCACTGCTACAAAAACTTTGAAAAACAGTCTTACGGTCTTAGAGCCAAATGTGCTCCTGTGACCCAGTGACCCTCCTCCCAGGTATGTTCCCAAGAGAGATGAAACTGAGGTAAAACCTAGGTTTCCAGCCTTTTCTTTCCACTCTCCCAGCCCTGGGGCCTTCAGCTTTGTACCCAGGGGCAGTTGTTAATGGATGAAGGTTCCCCACTTCCACCTCCACCATTAACAGGAAAACTCAAAAAGGACAGCTAGAACCAAAGGGAAGAATTTAATGACCGATTTGCAAAGAGAAAATTCCAGAAAGAAATAAACTGCCCCTCCTCTTCTTATTCTCAGCAGCAATTAGAGCCTCAGGCCCAAAGTGCCACTGGGTGTGGACATGGCTGGTACTAAATCAAAGAATTTCCCCCTTGCTCCTGCCTTTTATTTCCTCTGAAATAAGCTGAATGAAGTCACTCATCCTCCCAGTGCTCTCATTTTCCAGTCTGTTCCCTCGGCTTGAGAATTTAGTCCCATAGGCATGGGATTAGTTGACTGCACAAAATTCTTCGGGGTTACTAGTTATACCCCACCAGATGTAGGGACAAACAGGTTTTGCCATGAGCATTTGGCTCGTTGAAGAATGGAATCAGGAAGCCAAGACCCAAGGAAAGAAAGAGGGTTGAGTGTGTAATGTCAGGTACTTGGCCCCTGTGCTGGAGTAACTTTTATGTGTCAGTAGGTACTGTGTCACAAATCTTTCCCCCAGGACCCTGTGGGGGGATGAGAATGGTGTAGATAACTTCTAAACATGGAAAAAGATCATAGAAGGGCAGAAATCTTTCAGCTGGATAGGCTGACAAGTCTACATGTAGAAGACAGCACTGAAGCCAGACAATAAAAGCTATGTAAAGTTTGTCAGGCATCAATGGAGAGGTAGTGTTTCTGCCAAGCTGGGATAGAGAAGGGGGCTGCTGGGAGTGTTCAGGTAACCAGAGAGGAGCTCAGAAAGCTTCAGAAAGAACTAGAAAGGACAGATCTTGGGGTGGCAAGAAGCAGGAAACTGGGGCAACCCACTTTCTGGTCCCTCTTCTGTCTTTCTTTGACAGAAGCTTTCTCTCAATAAATCCTTCCTACTCTTAACCTCTGTTGTTCCTAGAATTCATTCTTCGATTTTAGAGAACAAGAACTCAAGTTTCAGATATCTGGCAGGTTTGGGAGTTGCACCTATTTCCCCTATATCATTTTGGAGGTCTTCTACTGAGATTACTGGTTGGAGACTCAAAGGTATAAACCTACTCAAGGTCACAATGCCTGGTGCCTATCAAGGGCCTTTAAACGGTAGAGTAACTCTGCTGACCACAACTATGACCCTCTTCAGCTGGCAGTAGCCAGAATGGTCTTCGCCCTTTGCCCCTTCATAGCAGTTAGGGGTACTTCTTCAGAGGGGGGAATATTGTAGATAGATAAGTTAATTAGATATCTTGTAGGCAGTTAGACAGGGCCGGTCTTCAAGGAAACAACATGGAAGACAGTCAAGAAGCCAACATGGAAGACAATCAAGACACATTCACTGAAAGCCAGCACTGTAAAAGAAGAGAAACTACCACACCCATGTGCTTCTCCCAAAGATGAATATCAGTGATTGATATTCTAAGTAGGTATCAATCACCTGGGTGGGGGACAACACTCTTCCAAGAAAGATCCCTGACCCACCCCTTACCATCGAAAATCCTTGCTCTTTCCTTGTATGCTTGCTACAGTGACTTGTTTCCCCATTGGATCCCCATTTAATCAATATTACCTAAGCGACTATACTTGTCAAAATCTCATTGGTTGTTCATAGTTCATCCATTTTGTGATTTCTCTTTGGATAAATATTACATAAGCAACTGTACTTGTAATCTTACTAGTCAAATATAGTTTTGTCCCACCTTGAACCCACCTCACCTGGTGGCTCTGTCCCATAAAACACCTCTGAGAAGCAGGGTGAGTGGGCAGATCCCACTTCTGTCTCTCTCAGACAGATGCTATCTTTCTCTCAATAAATTCTTCCTACTTAAAAAAAAAAAAAAGAAGCAGGAAACTGGGTCCTATAAGAGAGAGAACAACAATCTATTCCCTAAGATGGGTCAGCCTTCATTGGGAAGAGACAGCTGAAGACACCAATGCAGTTGTTGATCAGAGACTCAGAATCCAGAGTCCAAGGGAGGAAAGATTTTGAACAGAGCCTTGGCCAGGCCCCACTTGGCTTCTTTTCAGGGGAGAGATTCCCCTGTCTGGAGGTCCTGTTGAGAACTGCCTTCCCCCAGCACTTGCTGATCCCAGCGCTGCAACAGCTATGGCCCGCCTTTCTCCTCCATTCAAGGACCTCAAGTTTGCCTTGTTTTTATTTCAGTTGTCCCCAGACCCCTCTGCTGGATGTGAAACCTAGAGGACCAGAGGTGGAGTGGTGGCAGGAAAGGACACAGCAAACATGTAAATAAAAAAATTTAAAAATCCAGGTGCTACTTCTCAGTTCAGCCTTACTAGGCAGGATCATACAAGACAGAGAACATTGTAGCTGAGGCCAGACAAACCCGGTCTCAAGTTTGGCTCGCCAGCTTACAAACTGTGTGAACTTGGGTAATTTAACTTAACTTTTCTGAGGTTTTGTTTCTTTGCATAGTAATGAAAGACGTGATTTTAACCAAGTTATGGAGAGGAATACCAATAGTGTTATCATTTAAGGGCAGTTATTATACAGCATGAGGTATTCCAAGTTTGTACATAAACTACTAGATTTTATACATTTGAAGTGTCCAGCCCAGTTCCTGGCTATCCGTTGCCCCCAACTCATGCCTCCACATCTCAGGATCTCCAATTTTTCACTTGAGGAGAAGCTTAGACAAACTTTTCTCCAGAGACTCTTTCCTCATTGAATTTCTAAGAGACTTTGATTCTATGACTCTTGGCAGATGGTTCTCTGGGAAATTAAAACAAACAGAACAGGGGGAAATGGCTTACTGCTTGAGGCTGAGAATTTGCATTTGAATTTGTAGTTGCAAAGAAAGTTTCTATGTGGAATGTTGTAAATTCCCAGAAAAGCAGGGGTCTGAAAGGAGGGCTGGACCTTAATTACAAATGATGGAAGGTGGGAAGCTTTCTTATTATGTCTTTTGGAAAAATGCTGAAGATGTATTTATACATTGGTATTCCTGCAGTGCTTTTCTGAAGAGTTGGGAGTCATGGTTTTTTTTACATGAGAGGTAGACATTTTCCTCCCATTAAAAAGCTTCTCTTTACCCATGCATCCCAGACATTAGTGCTATTATAGAATAAGAGGCAAGCAATAATAATCCCAGCTTTGTTGTTTACAAAGTGTATTCTGATCTAAAAGCAAAGGGTTTGGAGATACAGCAGAATCCTAATGCCACTCTTGCCTCTTCTTAGTGGGGCCAGTTACTTTACCTCTCTGACCTCATTTTCTACCTCTGTAAGTGGTGTTGGCATTCCCCACCTCAAAGGCACATGAGAAGACTGTCTACCATGTATCTGTGGTAGAGATTTTTTGGTGCCCTTCCCAGCATCCCATTCTGACTTCTCTTTCTTTTCTGGGGTATTCATGTAGTTTTAGGGATGCTGACTCAGTTATGGATCCAGGCTAAGTCAATCAGTGCATTCTGTCTCCCCAACCCAAATGACTGTTCTTACCCAATCTGAGCATATCTTGAGACTCTTGAAGATGTTTTTGGGAAAAAGAAGATTTTTGTTGTTGTTGTTGTTGTAGCTGTGTGTGAGTAAGGATCCATATAGCATACATGGAAGATAAAAGGTAAAGTTTGATGGGGGTTAGTGGTATCTTGGTTTCTTTTTTCTTTTTTTTTTTCGGTACCGGGGATTGAACTTGGGTCCTTGCACTTGTGCAGCAGGCGGTGAAACCGTATCTTGGTTTATTAGTGATTGCAAATCTTTCCCAGTCTGCTAAACTTGACTGTTTATGTGACATCTCACTTTCACATACCACAATATATACAGTACCCACGATGCAGTGAAATCAATTTTGTAGGTCATGGAAAATATTTTTATTGAAATGGAATAAGTTAGACTAGAAAATATGAGTACATCACACTAAAGGATTGCTTTGTAAACCTTTTGTTTTAGTGTTTTACTGGAATGTGAAAGACATTTGAGAAAAGCAGCTGTAGGCGTGTGTTCCCCGAAGGCAACCTCTAAGACTGACTCTCCTCTGGATCCTTAGTATAGATCTGGCATAGAGTATATAAAAATAATATGATACTTGCTGGATTTATCTGACTGGAAAATGAAACCCAAAATGAAAACCCATATGCCTTTGCGTATGGGTAGCTTTGTTGAAAACGGGGTTTGGAGACCAGCATGATTGTCCTGGAAAGTGTTCTGGAGCCAGACAGCACTGGTCTGTGTGACTCTGGGCAGACCCTTTGTTGTTTGGTGCCTCAGATGTCTCATCTGTAGTATGGAGATAATGATGATGATCTCACAGGGTGGTCACCAAGTTTAAAAGAGGCCATATTTGCAAGTGTCCGGCACAGAGCAGTTGGTCATGTTATTGCTATTCTAGAAGGAGATCATGTACATATGGTGGTATACAAAGAAAAAGGGGTGGAGTAACAATATTTTGGTGAATGGCAACTTTTTTTGATGGAAAAGTCCATTTCTTATTGCATCACTTTTTTTTTCTGGCTATGGTAACTTGCCAAGATGTCTCACAGGAAACTGTGAGGCAAGGCAGGGGGCATGGTTAATGCAGACAGATGTAATGGAAATATCATTTCAATCTGTCAAGTTTCTCTAGTGCTAGCAACCAAGTTGAGCATGGTGAATGCTGGGAAACACTATCAGGATATTTGTGATGATCCCTAGGCCATAAGTATGTTTTCATCACACCTGTGTACCACCTTGTTCTCTCCTTTTCTCCATGCTTGGGACTCCTGCTGTCAACCCAATAACTTGGAATTCTTCCCTGAAAAAGCAATGCTTTTATTGCTATCAGCAGAAACAAGGTCCAGATGGGGCCACTAAATCCAGAGGCCAGGAAGCCATGTCCATAAAGAGCACTCACATGAGCCATCTGTGATGCCCTATGTTCTTTGCATATGCTGTTCCTACTCCTTGGAATGCTTTTGTCCTCATTACCTGATGAACACCTGCTCAGAAACTGGTGATCAGGTCAGCTGCTCTGGAAACCTTCCAAGAATTCCCCGGGGAGAGCAGCTGCTCCTCCTCTGTGCCTCAGAAGCCACCTCTGCAAACCCACATCATGTCACACTGGACAGCAGGCATCTGTCTCCCCTCTCACAGTGTGGATTCCTGGGGCTGGGAGTGGGTGGGTGGTGGTGGGATGTTTATCCCTGGTGCCTAAGACAATGGCTGCACATAGGTGGCACTTGTGGAAGGAAGGAAACTTCCATAAAAGAGGGAGCAAGAAAATTGTGCCTCAGGAGAAAAGCCCTGGAGACTGCCAGGTTTGCAAGCTGAGATATGCCCAATTTTTGCCCACTACAAGTTGTCTGATATAAAACATCTAGTTTCATCCAGACATCACAGCTACTCTCATTCTGGAGGTCCTCTGTGATGAACCTGGAAATGGTTACTGGGAGAACTGTGACTGCTGGAGATGGCTCTATCTACAAGGACTTAGGGGATACTTTATATGTAAGTTGGTTTCACAGCAGCACAAGACAGGGCTTACTTTTAGGATCAGAGGACAAAGGAAAGTGAATCAACATGAATTGGGCACTGTGCTGAAATGGATCTTATTTCACACTTTCAACCAGGTAGGTATTATTTTTCTATTTGTTCCATGTGTTTTTTTTTTTTTCTCTTCTTTTCTGCCATCTTTGGACTTTTCCTTAATTTTCTACTCTATTTCCACTACTGACTTACTAGCATGCCTCTATTTTAGTTTTTATTTTTTTAAATGGTTGTTTTATGCATATTTACCTAATTAAAGTCAGGGTAGTTATTCTAACCTTAATTTACAGATCAGGAAACAAATTCAAAGTGGCTAAGTAATTTTTGTATCAGATCATAGCTTAGAAATGGTGGATCCTTCACTTAGCTGCCTATTTCCAGGGTCTGAATTTTCCATTCCACCATCAGAAATCGAGAGCCAATTTTTTTCATGTAGCTTTACTTTAACCCAACTTATTGGAGACTCAGAACTAGCCTGAGCTTGATTTGTATGTCAAAAACTCCCAAAGTGCATTCCAAGGGGTCCATCCAGTGAGATACTAGGATTTTATGGTGAAAAAAGGACTTTCATGGTCAAATACATTTGAGAAATAGTGGATAAATATATTAAACAGTTCTCTTTACTACTGGACTTCTTAGAACCTTTTACAAACTGACATGTATTATGATAATTTAAAAATGGTGGTGGCTGGCCCTATCAAATTTATGCCAGAACCATTATTTCCAGAGAACTCTCTGAACTAGTGTTTCTTTAAATGAAAATCATGGAAAATGATGCTCTCAGCAAAAGTATTTCCTGTCATCCCACACTAGCTTTCTCAAGGAAGATGAAGTCTTATTAGGTGACCAGAGTAATGGACAGGGTCCTGCCTTCTGAGTGAGGCCTGGTCCTTACCTGTCATGAAGCACTTGATGTCCTGAGAGTTGCTGATGGGGTTATTGTTTTTAAACATGTAGAGATTAAAAGGCATGATGTTGTTGCTACTAAGGTGCTTCCACAGCTCGTGGTCTGGGCTAGTCCAGCGTCCAGCCAGCACATCATAATCCCGTCGGCCCATGTGGATGAGCTTGGTGAGTGGGTCATACAGGCCGCCATGGTAGCCAATGATGATCTGGAAGTTGGGGTTGGTGTCCATGTAGATTTCCCCATAAGCTGTGTACAGGATCTGCTTGATCATCAAGCCTGTTCCACTAAAGACAGCAAGAGGGGTTCCAATGTTGTCACAAGCTATGTAAAACTCATCACCGCTGCTCAGCTCCATGGCAAAGAGGTGTCCTTGCAGGTCGTAGTAGAGGGATGTGATCTCAGAGCTGGAGTGATTGTAGAGGTGGGTGACCTTGGTGGGGTTGGTCAGATCTGCATAGAAGAACTGCAAGTGGTGGCTGTAGCTGTTCTTGCTGGACACCCGCCGCCCCAGGCCATCGTAGTGGTACCTGACACTCCAGCCACCAGCCCGGTTGTAGGCCTTGATGAGCAGGCCAGCTGAGTTGTACTCAAAGACATCCCCACCCCGCTGCCTCAGGAAGCCATCTTCATCCATTTTGTATTGCACATCACCTAGCCTAGTGATGCGGTCACGGATGTCATACCGGAGTGGGGTGAGCCGTGCACTGTTCCCAGGGCTCAGCAAGTGCAGGTTCCCATTGAGGTCATAGCTGTAGCGCCAGAGTGGCTTGTCATTGATGGAAACCATCTGAAGCTGGCCGTCAGCATCGTACTCATAGGAGTAGCGGGTGGTGTTGGCATAGGGTCCCACTTTCAGCTCCTTCTTCACTACTCGCCCCATGTTGTCATACTGGACTGTCATCCAGTACATGAGTGAGCGGAAAATCTCATACTGCACTTCCTTCATCCTGCCGTACGTGTCAAAGTGCTTGGTATGGGTCATGACCGCTGTGGTAATGATCTGGTTAATGTCATAGTAGATGACACCAAATTTCCCAAACTGCTCTGTCTTGCCTGATACATCGTCATAGCGATAGAGATCGATAGGTAGTGGGGTCTCATTGATCACAGCCTGCATGCTGGTCACCCGGAAACTGTTGTCATAATTGTAATCAAAACGGGCATTGACCATGCCTTCCTCAGTGAAGCGGAAGATCTGCCGGTCGATCAGGGGCCCTATCTGACGGTAACGGATGGTGCAGGTGAAGCCTTCATTCTGCAGGTTGACAGTCTTCAGCATGCCTGCTGTCTCATCATAGGTGAAGCTCACCTTGGTGGTGTCATATAGCATCTCAGCCAGCTTTGACAGCTTGCCGTACTTATAAATCACCCTGCGGCCAGTGCCCAAGTAGAAGGTGTGGAGCAGGTGGCCATCCTCAGTGAAGTCCTGTATGACCGAGGCATTGCCCTCGGGGGGCTGGTAGATGTTCCTGTAGTAGCCCACGGAGCGGATCGTTTCCAGTGTTTGCCGGGCCACATTGGGCATTGTCACGGAGGAGAGGTGGTCATTCTTGTCAAACTCGAAGATGTACTGCCTCTGGCTGTGGAGCAGCAGCACCATGGACTGGAGGGAGAAGAAAACCAAGAAATGAGAGGAGTGTTGGGGGTGGGTGTGGTCTGAGCATCAAAGACTTAAAGAAGTGGAAGTCCAAGGAAAGTGGTGGTTCTCCTAAGTAAAGCCGAACCAAGCTTTCCAGCCTATGTGATCCTGCAAAAAGGTCACAGATGTATGGTGATAGGGTTTCCTTTCAGCCCTTGGCCCTGGCAGGGGCCATCTCCCTCCCTTTGGTGAGCAGCCCTGTATTTTTGTGACATAAGCCTGCTCTCTTCTGAGTGTAATGGGGTGTGAGGAAGACTGGGAAGCATGGGCCTGAAGTATGTACAACAGCCTCCCTACTGGTTTCCTCGCTCCAGGCTTCTCAAGTCAATCTTTCTATCCAAGCAAATAGTTCCCTGAAGTAGTCCCAGGACAGGATGTGCTGTGATGGGAAGACACAACCTGGTTTCTAACAACAAATTTATTGTATGGCACTGGGGTAGTTCTTTCCCTGGCTTTGGCTTTTCAGAATTTTGGATAACTTCCATGTGTGCATTCTCTCTCTCTCTCTCTCTCTCTCTCTCTCTCTCTCTCTCTCTCTCTCTCCCCCCTACTCCAGACTTACTCACTCTCACAGTCAGGGGATGCTTACCAGGAGTAGGAAACAATGTGGGAATCTGGGTATGAAAACTGGGGCATAAATTTCAGACTTTTCCTCAGGAAAAGTAAGCAGATAATAAGCCTATACATATCGACACATCAAAGCCACCATTTCCTCCTATTTGGGACCAACTTTTGATTTGGCATTACCTCTGATTCCTAGTCCCTGGGATGAAGTGAGTTTGGAAGCAGAAGAGATTTATCAAGGCCATGCCCAACACTAGAAGCTCAGGATTAGGCAAGCAATGCCTAATCCTGCCCTCAGGCTTCTGCTTAGCTCTCTGCAATGAGATTTCACTGTGTAGGCTGGACCTGGGAGCAGACCCTGCCCTGTTCTGAGTCCAGGAAGTGGTGGGGCTGCTCTTACCTCTACCGTATCAGTTAAGATTTTCCTATTTTCCTGCTGTAGGCCCCTAGCTGCCATACTATCACCATGATCCATCCAGATGCCTCTTGGGACACCCCTCACCCTTTGTGGCAGATTTTCCTGAATATTTCTTTTTGGAAAATGAATATCTTTGTTTGAAGACCACATGGGTCAGATTTATCCCATGGAAGTCAGCAACCTAGGCCTGGCCATGGGTTGAGGCACAATGACTGACATTTTATGTGGCAAGAACAGTTGTGGAAGGAGACAGACACTTGCCTTCTCTAAGTATGTGTAGGTCCACGTTTTCCCATCAGCAAAGATCCTGGATGTGATGCGACCTGCCTGGTCATATTCCATTCTCTCAGACATGATGCCCCTCTGGATGCCGGCAATGTGGCCGCCAGGGGAGTATGTTACATTGACACCATTCAGTCTACTACTGGGCGACCAGAGGCTGGGCCTCCCTGCCTGGTCATAGAGGATCCGGAGGGTGAACTTGCGGTGGTCATCATAGATCTTCTCTGTGCGTGTTACACGGTCAAAGTCCAGAGACAGGAGGTTTCTATTGTGAACCTGGGGCAGGGGTAGGAAGACAGAGGGGACAGAGAGAGTTAACCTGAGAGAATTATGCTGGATGTTGAGAGCTTTGCTTTGATGACCAGTGTGATTGTCAGCTGTGCTGAGTGAGATTCCCCTGAGTAGAGGAGGCTGGCACAGGTCACGGGTGTCAATACACATGGGTGTCATCATACTGGCTCCGTCACTTGTTAGCTCTGTTACAGTCCCTATCTGTCAAATGGAAATAATAATGGCAATTGCATGCGGCTGCTGTGAGATGAAGGCAATGCAGATAGTAGCTGTGACCAACGAGGATCCATATGATTTTTGAGTGCAGTTTTCCAATGAGGACTATGACTAAAGGCACATCCCTCCTGGCTCCTTTATAAAAACAGCCATCAAGTGGGAAAAGCAAATGAATGCCTGAGCCATACATCCGGAGCCAGATATGGTGCTATGTTTGACTCCAAGGAGACCAAAGCTCAGGGAAGTGAAGGCATTTGCTACTGGTCTTATGACGGATGAAAAACAGTCTGGACTTGGTTTTGACCCTTGAAACTTGCCAGCAGACACTCACTGTTCTCTGAGCAAGTCCTAGCCTTCTTGGGGGCTCTCCTGCCCTTGCTTCCCTATCACCTCAGCCAGCCCTGAAGAGATCTCTTCCTCCTCCTTCTTCCTGGAGGCCCTGGGAGGCAGTGGGTATTCGAGCCTGTGGTGGTTTCTGTGTGGCTCTGGGCCAGCTGGGAACCAGTCATAGCTCTGGAGCCCTTTGTTCCTGCCTCTAGGATCAGAAGCTCCTAAAGTAGTCTCCACTCACACTGCTGAGGGCAGCACATAATTCAGTTTCTGTTCAGAGACTGAAACAGAGGCTCCCATGAAGGTAACAGTAAGTCAGAGATTTCATATTTTAATAAAGAAATATACTTTGGAGGCCTGTTTCTGTATTTGCATCTGGCCCTTAGGCACTGGCTGCCCCAAACACTGCCAGGTGCTCTGATGCTAAAATGCTGGCTCCCTCTAATGGCTCTCTGGACTTCTGGGGCACTTGGGTACATTTTCTGCCTTTTCCACTAGTCACTAGTTCAGTCTGACAAGTAGGAAGAGCTAAGAGAAACACAGATAATTAGGTCACATGATGTGAAATGGCACGTGTATCCTGAGGTAATGAAAGGCTCTCTGGGGCTCTATGTAGTTAAAAAAATAAAAAGGCAAGGGAAGTAGGTCCAGGAATTAAGGCCAGAATATATCCTTAGCTTTATGTACAGCTTTTCTGTTTGACCTAGAGCAGGTGTCTTCCCTTCTCCGAGTCTTAGTTCCTTCCTCTGTATAACCACAGAGTTGTGGGGATTGGCAAAATTTAAGTAAGAGTGCAAGGCACATAGAAGGTCCTGGATAAATGGTTACAATTATCTCCATTAAATGACAGCAAGTGATCTTGGTCAGTCTTGAAGGACAAATGTGCACGTCCCCCCTCTCCCCACACAAACTCTAAGGCCTTGAAAATAAGGATTTATAGTGACAATGCTGAGACGACTTTAGCTGTGAATGGCCTGGTTATAATAAGGTTGCTTTCCCTGGGGTAATCAAACACAACTGCAGAAGCAAAAACAGTGTGGCAGTGTGAAAAATCAGAGCTGTTGGAGGCTGAAGCTGTGTTCTTTGCAGAGTTGGCAAAGGAAGAGATGGGCTGTACTATTAACAATGGGAGGGGTCTTTTTCAAGCACCTTTGGACAGTCATCCTACGGCTCCCTCCTGGGTGGTGCCACCCGGACAGCTGGCCCCCTCACTCCCTGGAGGACCTTAGTGAAGGCGAGCTGCACCTCTGTGGCAAAATTAATAAAATTGAATCAAGCAGCTCACTGGGGAATCACCTAATGCTTCCTATGCTCTGCAGTGGCAGCAATGAGATTATTTTACATCTTTCTTTATTAAAAAAGTTCCCAGTCATATAAAAAATGAGCTCCATTATGGGGAAGCACACCCGGCTAACATTCTAATTCCACATACTGTCACTGTGGGTGGCCATTTATTTTAGGAGGAAGCAGAGATGCGGCCACCCTACTAGAGCATCATCAATCTCAGGCTGGGAGAGGGACCAATTAAAGCCTGGGAAACTTTTGGTCCAGTTCACATAGCAGAGAGAAAATCCTAATAGTACTAATTGCTGCCCTTTATTGAGCACCTGGGACCTGCAGCACTGGGCTAGGTGTTTTGAATATTTTATCCTGTTGTACAGAGGAACCAGAGAATTTGCTCAAGGCTACACACGTGGCCAGCAGGAATCCAACCTAGGTCAAACCTCCCACTTAGCACACTGCTTCAGATGTGCAGGAAGGGGTCTTTGAGAATTCAGATCAAGTCTCAGGGAGGCCACAGATAGTGGCAGGCCACAGAGAACAAAGATAGCTAGGCCTTCCTCAGGGAACCAGTGGGAAGCTGCTTCCCACATTAGGGAGTTACAGCGTTCCTGGCTGAGTTCTTAGTTCTTGAGGGAACAAAGGAAGCTTGATTTTCTGGGTTCTAGTTTTTGCTACTGGGTAAGTCACCTAACATTTCTGCACTGGTTACGGGCCTGTTTCCCAGTTTTTACTTCACCTAGTTATATGACTTTGGAAAATTGCTTACCATCTCTGGACCCTGGTTGCCCTATGTGTAAAACAGGAGTTTATAAAAAGAACTTTCTCCAGTAAAGGGCAGGGAATGCAGAATGCCCAAGCTGTGTTGTTATGGAATGCTTCTGTGGTTTTCCAAATACAGGGAGCATCTAGCTCAGCTCTGTGGTTCACTTCAGCTTAGCAAATATCTCCTGAGCACCCATGGGCTACAAGGTGCTGGACAGAAAGCCAGAACTAGCTCACTCTGCCTGTCCCCTCCTTTCTGGAGGGAAAAGCTGCTGGGCACTGAGGCCCTGGGCTGAGGCCACACTCCACAGACACATGGGAGGTAGGCAGAGAAAGCCCGTTTCAAGGTGTCCTCCTCTTAGAAAGTGCTCTGGGATGCCAGACCACTAGGCAAGCCCCTGGCAATGACATGTATGGGGAGGTCGCCTTGATCATTTAGGAAGGGTCACTCTATCTAGAAAGCATAGAAGGCCAGGGATTTAGCTCAGTGGTGCCACCACCTGCCTCGAAAGCACAAGGTCTCAAGTTTGATCCCCAGTACCAAAAAAGGGGGGAAAAAAAAAGCATAGAGAGTGTACCTTAGGTTCCAAATAGCTAAAATGGATTTTGGGACATATTAGCAAGAGTAACAACAACAATAAAGCAATGACAACAAGAGTAGCTATTATTGACCACTTGTCATGCGCCAGGATCTGTATGAGACATCTTTTATGTTACTTCTAGTCTTTGTAGCAGCTTGTAAAATTGGTTTTATCTTCCCCATTTTATGGAGTATGGATTTGAGGCTCTAAGATGACTGACTCACCCAAATTCACTCAGGGAATAATATCTGCTAGAAATTCACCCCAGACCTAATGCCCATGCCAATGATTTCTCCACAAGTCAAAATTGGAAAGCTACGTAAGAACCTCTTATTCTATGTGGTTCCCTGCTTTAGTTTGCCCTTTTGCAAATGAGGAAACCGGTGCCAGGAAGTTTCAAGAACAGAACCCAGTTCTCCAGATTCCCTTCATTCTCCCTCCCCAGGATGCCACCTGTAAGCCCCTTAAATTCTTGCTCACTCTTAGCCGGCGCCCAAAGACGGTGACCTGGCCACGAGCCTGCTCCTTGCGCTGCCGCCACTCCACCAGGTTGAGGCCATTGTCTATGGGCAGTGTAACATTCCTCTTGCCCACGGTGGGGTTGACCGTGCCAGCCAACAGGTGGGGCTCGGTCTGTAGTGCCACCTCCATGCCATTGGCCAACAGCAGCCTCAGGGAGCCATCAGCCCCAATGTAGTAGCTGTTTCGGACTTGGTCTGAGGGAGAGACAAGCACAGGATGGAGTGGGTGGGGATCTGAACAATTTCTCCCTATGTAATATGTTATCAGTAAAGAAAACTGGGAAAATACATGAAGAACATAACCCATAATCTCCATAATGAAAGAAAACAGTATATTTGTAGATTTTAGGATATTTCCTAATGTCTTTATAGTTTCAAATAGTTGCTTATGGTGGTTTTCATTGACTACTGGATTAGATCATGCTAGTGAATATTTTTCATAAACATTTTCTTAATGATTGTATAGCATTTTATTATATGGAAATACTGTATATAATGAAGCATCAAACAGATAATTTGTTTCTAGTTTTTCACCATTATAAGTAATATAAATAAAATATATTTTAAACATTATAATAAGTGTAAGAAGTTAGATGCAAAAGGACACATGTTGTATGAATCCATTTATATAAACTGTCCAGAATGAGTAAATCCAGAGAGAACAGATTTATTAGTCATTATCAGGAGCTGAGGAGCAGGAGTAATGAGGGGTAACTGCTAATGGGTATGGGGTTTCTTTCCCGTTTGATAAAAATGTTCTAGAATTAGATAATAGTTATGGCTGCATAATTTTGTAAATATAATGAAAGCTTCTGCATTGTACATTTAAAGGGTAAATTTTATCATATGTGAATTTCAATAAAATTTTGCTTTATATAAATCAATGACTTCATTTCAGTTTAATCAAAATAGATTCTTTTTTTTTTTTTTGGTACTGGGGATTGAACTCAGGACCTTGCACTTGCCAGGCAGGTGTGGTGCCACTGAGCTAAATTCCCAGCCCTCAAAATAGATTCTTATCAAGTAGGATACTAGAGCAGAGGGTTGGACATTTTTAAGGCTCTTGGTATATTATCAGTGTTCTTTATAACAAGGTGAAAAATAACATAAATACAGTATATACATACACATACAAAGACATATGACAATGGTTTAAAGATAGATCTGATTAGAAAATTTAAATCTGATTAAAACATTTTAATTTGGATCTTTAAAAGAAAAAGGAGGAAAAAGTAATTTTCAGCTACAAAATGCATACAGAGTTCTCTTCTGAAAATGGAAACAGTATCTCTGGCCTCTCCTGCCTCTGTTTGGCCTTCTTGACTGCTTCCTCTGTCTTCAGTAGACACAGCCCAAGTCCTCCCGCCTGGGGTCTGCTCAAATGTCATCTCTTTCCAGAAGCCCTCTATCCCTCTGGTCAGAGTGAATACCTCGCCTGGCCCCCACTTTTCAGGCTCACTGTGGACCTCATCAGTGGTCTTGCAGCTGTGGGGTGCAGAGTTCATGGCTCTGTCAACGAACACATTCCCCAGGGTCTAAGTGTCTGTGAGAGGCTCCATCACACAAAAATTAAGGGCATGGGCTTGGGTTCCAGCTCTGCCACTGTCCTGCTCTGTGACTTTGGTCACATTCATCCCTTTGTTGCTTCACTGTACACTGGGGATAATGACTGTGCCCTTGCCCAATGCTATGAGGATGCCATGAGATGAACAGGAATTGCTGAGAACAGTACTGGTGATAGTATTATATAAACATTGGTTATTACTAGTTTGATGTGTGTGACTGTCCTAGGCACTGTCATGTGTATTCTCATTGTCTCTGCTGTGTCTCTACTATCCCACTTCACACACCTGCCACAGGGAATTTTTCTAGTACTATTTACACTCTTTCAATAGCTCCTCATTACCTTCAATGTCTCATTTGTGGTCCAGAGAAGGGGTTTTGGAGCTGGTTTATATGGGTTCATTAGTCTTTTAGGTGTGTGACTTGGGGCAAGCTGCTTAACTGCTTGTTGTCTTCATTTGGAAAGTTGAGGTATTAGTAATACTGACCTCATAGGTCTGTGGTAAAGATTAAATAGGGCTAAAATATCAAATGCTAAAAATACAGTTTGAGGTTAATAAGTACTCCAAAAATGTTGGCTATCATTATTGTTACATTTTTATGAGCTCAGTAAATATTTGCTGGATTAAACTAGGTATGTCCTGAGCTATGTCAAGCCATAAGGATATGGTTTTCAGCAGAACCCCTCTGCTAATCTTCCCTGCTGAAATGGCATCAAATTGTCCCCCAACCCAGCCTCCACATTTTCACGCTTTCTCCCCACATACACGAATTCTGAAACCTGGCTCAAAGTTGCTATGCATTATTCACTGACAATCTGTATTTTACTTCCTTGGAAGAATGAAAAGCCTGTGCCAATTTATCTTTTAACACTGCTCCTTGCTGAATCCACATATGTCTATTACTGGTGAGTTTGGATGGACCAACATCTGCAGAGGCCCAACTCACACGATCCCCATTCGATGCAGGCTGTGACTTCCCAAGGCTGCTACTCATTAGTAGCTACTTCTTATTACTTTTTGTAGTTCAGATAAAAGATGAAACTGAAAGAGCTTTTCACAGACACTACTGAGGCGACTGCAAAGCTGGACATCCCAGCCTGGTAGGTAATCAAGAAGGAAAGGGATGGGGCAGAGGTACCAAAGGGGAAAACAGGCACTGTGCTTCCTGGATTCCAAGGTGCACCTTTTCTTTCACATGTTAATGCTCCTAAAATTGGAATGTGTCTTATAATCCAGGTATGCATTTTGAGCAGTACCTAGTTTTTCCTTCCACCTGAAAAGTTATTAAATTGACGGTATATTTTAAAATTGGGAAGTGTGGCACTTTTGAATTTTAAAAAGTTGCCCAAACATAGAAAAGACTGCATCAACCTTTGAGAAAAGTAACTGTAGTCTAGCATCTTGCAGTGGACAGATGGAACAATTCTTAACCACAGAGAAGAAAATAGGCCTGAAGGACAGGACACACGTCTAAGCAATCCTTGGTCAGGTAGAATCCTGGCTGGCTGGGAGCTGGTACCTTTTCTTGGCAATAATCCTTTTGGGGAATAAATTCCTGGTGGTGGTGGTCGAGGGGAGAGATGTCCCACACCACCATTAAAGGTGCTTGGTTGAGGAAGAAATTTCAGAGTTTGGCTCCTCTTTGTTTGAGAACCACTATTATTCCTTGAGCTCTCTGAAAGGCAAAGGACCACCTTTGGGAATAAAAAGCCCATGTACAAATATGTATACAAATATTTATTTTCTTATGGTAAATCAAACTGCTTTATAATGAATTAATTACTCAGTTAATTAGTCCAAGAAGCACTTCCTGAACAATACTGAGCAATACCCTGTGCCTGGCCAATGCTGATCACTTTCCAATGTTGTATAAAGAGATCATGTGAGCAACTCTGTGAGACAGGTGTCACAATGCAGCATCATTTGCCAGACCTGGAAAGTGAGCTCAGAGAAAAGTGATTCCCCCAGTTTGCACAGGTGGGAACTAGCACAGCAGGCATAGGGCCCCTGGGTCCATTCAGAACCTCTTCTCTCTGCACTGCCTCACCCCACTTAACGTAGTTTCAACTTGTTTTTTATTTTTCCTGAGGGCCGCAGTGGGTGATGTGGTAGCAGAGTCAGAACTAGAAATTGGGCCCCTACCTCCTAGCCCTGAGCTCCTTTTTTACTCTTTTGTGTCAAAGCCTGAGGGCAAAAGTTAGGCAGGGGTTTCTTTAGTGATGGCTTCTTCTTCTTCTTTTTTTTTTCCCATGCTTACTAAATCCAACAAAACCTTGGGTTAGCACATCTCATGAGAACAGTTGAGGCAGACAGCTCACAGCAAGATTCTACTACTGTGATTTACCTGAAGCTAAAAGATCAATGTGTATCAGGGAAGAGCTGATGGATGTAGAGAAGAGTCACTTTTCTATGGAATCCTAGCAGAGGAACAAACCTTGTGTGGGCTTTAGGAAGGACTTCTCCCTAACCAAATCCCTTTCATAATAAGGTGTAATTATTCTTGTCCTTTGTCCTTGCCTGCACCAGTGTGAGTGTAAGTCTTTTAATCTGGGAGCCATTAGAATGGCAGAATAACGAGGTAACCTGGATTAGCAGCTAATGGATTCTTTTCCCTCTTTGTTCTGATGATAATGGGAGGGGACAATGAAATATTGCTTCGAAGATTCTGGGAAAGAATTTACAGTACTCTGGCTTATATGATTGCAAATTAGGTGGTAATACAGAGAGAAACCAGTCATAATTCTTTCCTGTTTGTGGGCAGCTCCTGAAGCAGCTTGTTTTTAGGGTCATTCTCTTCCAAAGGGGTCTTCCCACCCTTGTATCTCAGTCCCCAGGCCATGCCTGGTTTACCTTGCAGTAGAGTGTAGAAGGCACCTGAGGCAGACAGGTTGGTGGTTATGGTGACATCATCCTTGCTGGAGGTCTCTACCTGGACATGCACGGAGCTGTCTGTGTCACTTCGGAAACTGCTCACTTGGCCAGTAGGGAAGGTCACATTTGTTAGGCGGCCAAAACTGTCATACCTGGAAACCAAAGGGCAGCACTGATTAGCAGAAATACGACAATGCTATAGCTGGAACTTGGCATGTTTTGCCTCTTGCCATGGTTTTGCATGTTTTCTGCCTTTCTTTCTGGTCAGATACATTCCCCTGCCTTCCACATTCCTTGCTCAGCCCACAGCACATAGTTTTCAGGATCTGACTCCACCTACTGATATTGGACTGCAGGAAAATGATTTGCCTCTAAGTTTCTTTTCTAATCCTGCCCTGCGCATGACCCAGGATTACTGGGAGGAGCGTCTGCTTTATTTCAGAAAGCCTCTCCTGTATTGAGACTGAGTGCTCCAGGTCAGGACAGGTCTTGGAGTCAGATTACCAGGCTGGGAATCTGGCATCACCCCATACCACCACTTAGAGACCAAAAGAGGCAGCCTATTTAAATGAATGCAAACTTCTTACTAGAACTTCAGGACCCCAGGAGACTGTCCTCTCTGGAATGTCAACTCCTTGAGGCAGGGACTTCAACTGGTTACTGCTGTATTCCCAGAACTTAGAATACTGGGTACACTGGGTAGATATTCAGTGTTAATGAATGTTGGCTGTATGACCTGACTCCTTCCCGCCTTTCTTTCTGACTTCCCCTTGAACTCTGATCTTCTGTATTTTTCTGCATCAGTTTCTGTTCCTCACAGAAGCCAAGCTCAATCCATGTCAGTACAGCAAACCAGGGGATCTGGCTCTGGGTTCATCGTTGCTTTAGCAGCAGTGGAACTGGCAAGGAGATGTCAGGCAGAGAATGTTGCTAAGTGACTGCAGGGTTGAACATGCAAGGGTTCTTTCTTGCTCTTTAGGAGAGGAGAGATTGTGATTGATTTGCATGCTACCTCCAACAGGACTTGCAGAGCTGGACACACAGTAGATACACAAAAAGTATCTACTGAATGCACAAATATGGAAGTAACTGCTCTGGCTAAATGATACTTCAGCAATCTCCCCAGGCATTTCTCCAGAGTTTTAGTCTCCAAGACAGAATGAGGCTTTGTATCATGGCAGACAATTGTAATTACTATTGAAGGTAGCCTGTACTGCATAATTAAATTGAGCCTGAAGAAGATACAATGAAAAGCCCCATGCCTTCGAGATCTGGTTTTCATTTTATACAAGACGGCCAAAACCCAGTAATTTCCACTCCTCACATTTTCCATTAGAAGGACTGAATGTCTTAATTAAATGAACATCAAATAGAGCAACCAATTTATAAAATTTTGTCTCCTATTCATTCATTTCCCTACCTTCCAGAGCTTGAGAAATGCCACTGGATCTTCCTGCTGCTAGATCAATACCTGTGATTATCCCATCAGAGCAGAAGTTCTTCCCCTTCTGACTCTGTGTGGGAAGAACTAGAGCTGCCCATCTTCTGGATTCTGCCCCTTGGGCCACCTCCACAGAACCCTTTCTGCTTCACACTGAGCTGCTGAGAGCTGCTTCAACAAGGTGCAGAGACTTGGAAGGGGCAGTTCTCTGCACTCCCTGGGTTTCAAGTGGCTGCCTCAAGCCCCAGCCCTGTGATTGGGTGACATTTAGACAATGACTTAGTTATGTTTATTATGGCTTTAATTATGGGAAGCCACAAAGCATTGGCAAATTTTCTTTCTTTCTAACCATGAGAAATGGAAGGAACATTTGGTATGGGAAAGTCTTTGGAGCCAGACAGTCTAGGATTTGAATACTGGCTCAGTGCAAGCCAGTGACATGATCCTGGAAGATAGGTACTCAGTTCTCTTTTCTTCTTAACCTTCAAGGCCCCCCTGCCCCAAATGACAGTATTCCAGGGAGGTTACATAGCATAACCTCAGTGAGCCTGTTTCCTCCTCTATATGTCTCACAGAGACACTGTGAAGACCAAAAGAGGCAGCCTATTTAAATGAATGCAAACTTCTTACTAGGACCTTCAGGACCCCAGGAGACTGGAATGTCAACTCCCTGAGGCAGGGACTTCAACTGGTTACTGCTGATCCCCAGAACTTAGAATACTGGGCACATAGTAGATTGCTTAGTGTGAATGAATGTTGGCTGTATGATCTGACTCCTCTCTGCCTCTCTTTCTGACTTCCCCTTAAGCACTGATCTTCTGTATTTCCCTGCATCTGTTTCTGGTCCCCCAACATGCCGAGCTCAATCCGTGCTGGGGGATGCTCACACTTACTGTTCCTTTTGCAGGGCATGCTTTTTCCTGCAATGGTAATATGGCTAGTTCCTTTCATCATTCATGCCTCAGTTCAAAGGCTACTATGTTGATAAGGGCTTCCCTGACCACCAAATTTTCCAAAATAGGTTCTGCCATCTCTACCACAGTATCTTACTGCATTGTCTTCATTATACCCACTATCCTGTTTCTTTGCTTACTGTGGTCTGTCTCCACCTGTTAGAACACAAGCTCAATGAGGACAGAGACCTTGTCTGCATCCTCAGTGCCTACAGGAGCACTCAGCATATAGAAGGTACTCAAAAATGTCCACTGAATGAATGAATACATATATAAATAAAGAGTAGGTTTTTCTGTGGTACTAGGGATTGAATCTAGGGCCTCATTTGTGCTAGACAAGCACTCTACCACTGTATTACACTCCAAGCCCTTTTGTTGATTTTTCAAGACACAATTGAGAGTAATTAACTCCATCTATTTTATTTGCGGCACCCCCCATGTGGAAGGGAACACTCACTAAAATTCACAGTACTTTCTAGATACCAACATCATGCACAAAATCATTTTTTGAGGTAGGGATTATTATTGTCATTTTGCAATGGTGCTAATGAGGCTCAGAGAGGATAAGTAACTTGTCTAAAATTACACAGTTAGCAAAGAATACAGATTCAAAGTCAGGTCTCCCTGACCTCAGCAAATGTGTTCTTTTTTTTCAAGCTTTCCATAAAAATGATAGTGTTTCAAATCAAAGCCTTTGTGTTCAACACATTGTGTCAAATAAAAAAATTCTGTTTGGAAGCCTCAAGTGGGTCAAGAAGACTGACAGTTTTTCCTTCGAGATGCTTTGCTTGGCTACTGCAGCAGTTGACTTTGTAGCAATGCCAAGCCCTCATCGTGGGGCAGGGGAGAGGGGACAGAGATGGTCAGATGATTGGGTCTCCGTTATTGCCTTCGACTGACTTTTTTTTTTTTTTGCTCTATTTTTCCAAAGCTTCTCTGGAGCACAGTGAAAGAAAACACATAAAAGATTCATATAGTTGCTGTGAACTTGGCTCTCAGAAGAGGTCTGCTAAAGGGTATCTTCACACACTCTGCAAGGCTTTCTTCTTCACACTTGATACTCCATCCCAAGCCACTTACTATGTGCAGCTAGTGAGGAAAATGCCAAATTGCCTCTTTGATACTAAACTTTTGCTGATCTTAACTTTTTGGTTGGAAAGTAAAAATCTGATTTTTATGACTCTCATCTGATTGTTCCAAACAACACCATCACAAACAAGGGAACTGGATGCCATCATCTGTTAGTAATTCGAGTTCACAGCCCACACACACTGATAATTCCCTTGGCCCTAGGTCAGTGGAGTGTATGGCATCATTACATCACTGGCTTCTCTAAATGGTGTCAGAGCCAGGGGACTTTTTTTACTTTTTCAGTAAAAATTGTACTTGATACCCAAGTCATACAAAGTTAAGTTCCTACAGTGAATTCTATCTAACCTTTAGGATTCCCAAGATCCTCCCTCCCACTGCTGGTCTTGTCTCACTGATGCCATACTGAGGCAGTGCATCTGGGGAAAGTGTTTAGGATTCAGGTAGACTTAGGATTGAATCCTGGCTCTGCCACTTATGTTTAACAGGGCATAGAGCCAGTGAGTCTCTTTGCTGGTTATTCTGCCCCTCATCCATTCTCTGCTCTTCTCTATGCCCAGAGACATCAACCCCTGCAAACTGTGTACCGGGTACCTGTGCTGTCTCACTTCTGCTTAGGTAAAGTCATTGCAGGGAGTGCACACTGGCGAGAGGCTGGAGGTCAGAATGAGCTTTCCCAGTCTTTCCTTCAGTGCTACCATATCTCCCATAGCAGCTGCCGCCATACCTGACTTCAGCTTCTACTAAGTGGCTTCTCCTACTTGCAGGGTGTCAGTAATGGTACCCTACTCCTGTCTCACCCTGTGTGTCAGTCTGAGAGGTGGTACTGCTATTCTGTTTGTAGTGCCTTGGGTGTCTCAGCCTCCTTCTTTGGTTCCTTACTCCTTTCTATATCTCTAGAACATACCTTTATTTGAAAGATATTTTTGTTGAACATTGTATCTGAGTGGACAGTTTTTGTTTTTTCCTTTCTGTACTTTTTGTCTTCTAGTTTGCATGGTTTCTCATAAGAAGTCAGCTGTCATTTTTATCTTTGTTCCTCTTATAAAATGCTCCCTCCCCTTTTACTGGCTGCTTTCAAGATTTTCTTTCTTTATTTTGTATTTGGTGGTTTGAATATGATATGCCTAGGAATGTGTGTTTGTGTGTACTCTGCCTGGTGTTTTTTGAGTTTTTTAGGTTTGGATCTGTTTTTAATTATGAACAACTCTTGGCAACTATTTCCTCAAATATTTCTTCTGCCTGTTTCTTCTCTCTTCTCCTGGAATTCCAGCTACATGTATATTAGACCATTGGATTCATAGCTCTTGAATGTACTGCTTTGTATTTCTTCTCTTGGTGTTTCTGTTTGGGTAACTTCTATCGACCTAACTTCCTTCCTTGGCTGTATCACACCATGTCACCAAGAGCGACTAGCCCATCCAAAGCATTCTCCATCTGTGCAAGTGTTTCCATTGGATTCTTTCTTAACAGTTGCCATCTCTCTCCTGAAATTATCCATCTCATCTTCACATTGTTCACCTTTTCCACTAGAGCTTTTAATGTAATTACAGTTATTTAAATTCTCTGAGAGATAGTTCCAGCATCTGTGTCACATCTGAATGTGGTTCTGATGATTCCATTTTTGCTTTTTCTTGCCTTTTGTATATTCAGTTGAGAATGTGACCTC